TTCTAAAATCAGATTTTTTTTAATTTATATTTTTATAAAATAAATATATTTACTAAACAATCCCCAACCCTAATTAATTCTCACTATCCGCTCTCTCTCTCTCTCCCACAGGCGTCCTCTTCTTTCTCTCCTCTCTGTCCGGTGACCTCCACCGGTGATGCACAGTCGCCGGCGACTTACCTCTACCGCAAGCAGCGACATCTTCTCCCGGTCGTCCCTAATAATTCTGGTCATTCTCGTTTCCCTCTCTTGTCTACATCCTCATTCTCTCCTCTATACCTTTAATACACACCACCATCGAAGGCCGCCACACCGTTTGCAGTGCCTCGACGAGAGTGTCGACGCTGCGCAAGGTCCAGCACCTCTGTGCAGCGACGTAGTGGGGATTGCATGTACAACACCAAGCTAAGATCGTGACACTTTTCCACCGATCTACGTTGGGGGTGTTTTAGGTGAGCGGCGGCGCCTCTGTGCAGCGGCGTGTGATTTATAAATTGTAATGTTTCTTCCTCCGATCTGTTTGGGGTTTCTTTGGGTGTTGGTCATGGTGTTGTCGGTGAGGTGGTTGTATTGGCGGTTGTGGTGAGTTTTGGCCGTGGTGGTGCTGGTAATGTTGACGCTGGTGAAGGTTGTAGCACAGCAGCGCTAGAGACAACGGAGCATGTGGTAATTGTTAAAGGGTATGGTGATGTGGTGTTGTGTAGTGGTGGTTGGGTTTTGTGGTGGTGTGCGATGCAGTGATTGGGTTCGATGGTGCTGTGTTATGTGGTTGGGCGCGGTAGTGGGGACCAGTGGTTTAGGTATGGTATTGCAGCGGTGGTGACCAGTGGTTTGGGTATGGTATTGCGGTGATGGTGGGCGATGTTGTGTGACTGTTAATTTTAGATCTGATTTTTTTGTGGTGGTGGTGACGACTGATAACGTTGGCTATGGTGCTGGTGAGGTTGGTAGTGGTGGTGGTGGTCAGAGGTGATGGGCTGTGACTCCTGATTGTGCAGATTTGAATCCTTGTTTTGCGGTGGTTGTGCAGTGATTTTGTTGGTTGTGGTTGTGACTGTGAACAAAATTTCGAGTTGTGACCTGGGCTGTGACTCTTGATCTGTGACTTGTTACCTGAGCTGTGACTTGTGACCTGAGCTGTGACTCTTGACTTGTGACCTGAGCTGTGACTTGTGACATGGACTGTGACTTGTGACCTGGGTTGTGACCTTAAAAAAAATGTCAACCGTACAAAAAAATATAGCAGAGTTGCCGTCGAAATATTCGCCGAAATTGGAACAACTGCTGGATCAGAGCAGTCGCCGGAAAAAATCGACGTCGGAACGGTTGCCGAAATAGTCGTCGGAACGGTCACCGGAATCGAAGTAGTCGCCGAACGGTCGTCGGAAAGTTCGCCGGAATAGGACGGTGATCGAAATGGTCGTCGGAGCGGTAGAGGTGGGATGCATTAATTATATTATATTAGAATTAAATATTTAATAAATTTATTTAATAATTTATTAATTCATAATAAAAAATTAAAAAA